CTTAACGACTGAGCCACCCAGGTGCCCCAAGAAAAGAAGATTCTAAGATTCTAATTCTAATGTGGGATTTAGCCAGATGCAAGCAGAGATGCCCATTGCCTGGGCTTACAGCACCTGTTTTTATTGTAATGAGTCAAAATATCCTCCCCATCGCAGCCCAGGCCCCACAGGCGGCCCTCGGGTCACACGGTGGCAGTCCTCCACACACCTTTGTGCAGCATGAGGTGGGGGGGGGCTTCACCCCTCCCTCATAACTACAGCTCCACGGACCAGCAGGAAATCTCTGTTCCTGGAGACCCCTCTTGGTAATCCAGCTTGAGCAACCTGGGATAGAAAGACGGACAGACAGAAAAATAGGTGGTCCGCAAATCTCAGGTGTGGCGGGAAGAGACAGAGACGGCTGGGGTTAGGAATGGGGAGGGTAGAGAGTCTCGGGGCCCTGAGAACTTCCTCCAGCACAGGCTGACAAGGCCCCGTCACCCAAGTGGACCCAGCTGTGTGTGGTCCTCAGGGTCCGGGGCTCTGAGACTTCAGGAGGAGTTTCCTCCTTGTGATCTCTGGGCTGGGGTGGTTTCTGTGGGTCTGAGCTGACTGTCCTTTGTGGGGTCGCAAAGACCTGGGTCACACATATCTAAAGCATCAGCCTTTGCCCTGACCGTCTCTATTTGCCAGGCAAGGACAGAGGGGTAGGGGCCCAGCTCCCAGCCTCCCAGCCCCTGCCCTTGGCCGGGCTCAGTGGCCTGCTTGCACAGAGTCACCTGGTGGCAGAGTACTCAAGGCCCTGAACCCTCAGCATTCGCTTGCTGTCATCTGCCGCTGCCGGAGGCCCCCAGAGCACGTCCTGGTAAAACTGGCCTGGGACACAAAGGGTGGGTCAGCCAGGCATAAAGACAGAGAGGGAGGCGGGGAGACACACAGAGGGAAAGGCCACTGCGTGCTCACTGCAGCGGTGGCTTGTGAGGACGCCTACCGAGGGTCCCGCCAACGCGGCTGGAGAAGCGGTGGGTGTCCCGCAGAAGGAGCCGGAGCCCCTCCCCGGGGCCGTCCCAGGGTAGCAGGCCGATGGTCACTCTGTCCGGGCTGCTGAACAGCAGGAGCCCCGCCTTGTCCATGGTCAGCTTGACGCTGCGGGGAGTGCCAGGGTCCTGAGCAGTCGGGCTGGGAGCCGGCGGGGCTGCCCTCTTGTCCCCGGGAATTCCTACTGTGGCCTCGGGTGCTGAGTCCCTTCAGTCCCTTCTGGGCTTCCGTCTCCTCATGGTAAACTGGGACCGACGGTAACTTAGATATAGCCGCTGCTTTCTTTATCAAATAAAACAATGGCCCCTTTCACTCCCTGGTTCTCTTAGATTTGGCTTCTCGTGAATTAGTTGGATACGATTTCGGCCGGTCTTGGTACATTTCCTCTGTCCCTTTTGTTGTTAAGGCCAGTGCCGCTTCCTTCTGAGGATTAGTGTTATTTAGGTCTAGAAGAGCAAGTCCCTTTCCCTTCTATCCTGTCCTTTTTTTTTACTTAAGATAATCTTTGAAGTTCTTACCTTTTTTGTTTTCTTAGGAATGTGAGGCTCTTTTAAGCATGTTGAATAGAACCCTGCTGTTACTCTGAGGTTATTTAAATGGAATTGCCCTAAACTGATGCTGTCTTCCAGTCATCATACAAGACATAGTCTGTTTTCCCTTATGTGTATCTGCCGTAGCTCATGAAAGTATTTGGACTTTTTCTTACTGCAGGCGATGGGAATTCTTTATTCCACCCTCTAGCGTGCAAGTCTGAGGCATAGAAATCCTGTCATTCTCTGTGCATTTATCAGATAATCGGAAACTTCAGGCTCTCTTATGAAATCGGGCGGTTTTCAGGTGAAGCCCTTGGATTGTCTAGGCGTGCGCTCATTTGTCAAGTGGAACCCAGTCTCTGCTGTGGGGCAGGGAGAGGGCAGAGGGCAAGGCTCTCTGTACCCGGTACAGGCAGGGGGTTGCAGGGCACGGCTCAAAGAGGGTCAGGGTCCTCGGCCCCATTCCCAGGCCCCCGTGACCTCCAGAGCTGGAGAGCTGCCTCTGGAAGGCTCTGTGGTGGGGCAGCCTCACCCAGAAGAGGATGCCGTCCACTTGCATTACCCACCAGCTGCCCAGTGTTTGATGCCGGGTGGACTTGTCGACGCCCGTCAGAGCTCCGGGAGCATGCTAAGGATGACATTCCTAACCTGCCCCGGGAGCCAGTGCTCTCCAGCTCATTGCTGTCTTTACCTGGCCACACTGACCGCGCTGCCCCCCACGGCACCCCGTGGGCACAGCATTGTCTAATGGGCAAAGTGCTCCTGGACCACATCCTCTTACTGGATCTTCCGCCCCGCCCTCTGAGACTCAGGGCCGGGGAATTATCTCTGGTGATGAGTGAGGAAACAGGCTCAGAGAGGGTGAGCAGCCTGCCCAGGGTCACACAGGATTAGCAGCAGAGCTAGTTCCAAACCACACCGTGCCCCACTTGGGGCAGTGACCCGGGTTAGGTATGAGGGCAGCCAGCTCCAGCCTAACTGCTCGGTGCCCTCCAGAGCAGGGGGTGGTGGTGCAGGGCTCTCTGTGTCTCTGCTCCTCCTGCGGGCGCAGCCCACTGCAGAAGACTCATGCCCAGCCACCCCGTCCTCAGGCCCGTGGGTTCAGGTCACCTGTCAGCACTGTCCCCAGCTAACTGATGGGGCCAGAGAGGTACCCAGACTGGGGGGGGACCCAACGGGACCCAGGCAGGGGCATACCCGGGTATCACCGAGAACAGCGTCTCCTTCCACTTGTAGGCAAAGTTTCTTCGGTTCCGGGTCACTACCACGTGCTCAGGGATGGCACGGACCTGCAGCTGGGGGTTCTTGAAGGTCACCTCGATCCACGAGAACCGGGCCTTCTCTGTCTCGTACTGGGCGGTCACCTCAATCCCTGAGAGGGTCAGGGGCAGAGAGGTCAAGACCGTGGCCCCAGCTGGGCGCTGGCCTGAGCGGAAGGTCCACCCAAACCCCTTCTCACCAGCTGACCTCCCCGCTCCCTTTCCCAAACACTCCCTCACACTGGGGGCTGTTTCCCACGGTCTCTCCCCTCATCCCCTGGTTTCAGATGGCTGTGGAAGGACCCCCGAATCCTCAGTGATGGCCACCTTCAGACGAGCCCCATGAGAAGGGAGTCGTGTCAGAAATCCACAAACGTTCACAAAGCCCGTGTGGTGTGCCTGGCCCGATGAGGTGCCATGGCCAAGGGCAAGATGGAAGAGGGGTGGTGCCCCCCCCCCTCTGTGAGCAAACAGACCACAGGCCTGGCGGGGTGAGTGGCAGACTGCGTGGACCGGGGAGGAACGAGGGGGCCGTGCATTCTCATTGACTCTGGCCGGCTCTGCAGACGAGCGTGAGCGTCCCTGAGTGCTGGGCCTCCTTGCATCTGACCCGACACTCAGTTCAACCAGTAAGACCGTTCTGGGGGCTGGGGGTGCAGGCCCGGCCAGCACACACCTACCTCCTCCCACCATTCACCGCCTCCACACCCTCCACAGTCCCACCAGCACCTTCCAGCGCTCTGCTTCTGCCTGCCCCTTCCTCTGTCCAGTGGACCCCTCCTGGTCTGCCAAGGCCCAGTCACTCCTGTATGACCCTGTGCAGCACCCCTGCTCCCCGGACAGCTCTTGTCTCCTCCTCTGGGTTTGCTTCCATGTCACTCTGGGCACTGACTATAGGCCACTGAGCTTACCTGTGCCCAAGTCTGTCTCCCCACCGCCGAAGTATGGCAGTGCCTGGGGCGAGTCCACATCAGGCCACCCCGACCTGTGTATGTGGTGCTCAGGGACATGGCCATGCCATGATCTGGGACGGGCCTGCATGGGGCAAGGTGTGTCTCCATGGGCAGGTGTCCCATCATTGTCTCTGGGGTAGTAAGTCGGGAGTCAGCGGTGTCTGGGTCTCTCTGGGTGGGTGACTGGATGTGCCCCTCTCACCTTGGTCAGGGTCTGAGAGCAGGTTCATCGGCCCCTGAGAGTGCTTGATGTCCACACAGAGGCGGGCCACGCTCTGTCTGGGCAGCATCAGGATGACGGCAGGCGCCTGGATGGCGGCTGGGACAGCAGCTGTGGTTCCTAGGGTAGGTAGAGCAGGCTGGGAGACGAGGACAAGGAGGGCACCAGGCCTGAGGGAGGCTGGCAACTGACCTGGGGGTGAGGCTGTCTTGGCTGATTCTGAAAGAAGAAGAAGTCTGGGTTTAGGAGCCCCTTCCCAAGGAGCGGGATGGGGGGAGCTGAGAGACAGAGACATGGATGTGTGGTTAGGGCTCCCTCTCGACCTCAGCACTGGGAAACCCACGTGACAAGTCTGTAGAGCTCCCCGAGGCTTTCCTCTCCCAGATTCTCCTTGTTACAGGGTCAGAAGCTACTGCAGGGACTCTGGCCTGGGGGGCATCTCCGGCTCTTAAATCCACGCCAAGAAACACTTCGTCAAGAATGGAGGGGGCTTATGGCCGCCGAAGCAGGTATTGGTGCAGGGCCAGAAACAGAAAGGAAGAGGGCAGTCAGGACTGAGAGCAATCAGCACGCCCTCCAGCTGTCATCGGTGCCCACCCGCCCTCCACCCAGCCCCGCAACCCCGGCCACACCTACACCCAACCTAGGAGAGCCTTTGTAGTGAGATTTTCAAACAGGAGAGCGTGCCATTGGGGAAAATGGCGAAGACACAGGGTCTAGCCTGGCTCTGCGCTGTTTCTGAGTCCAGACCTGGAGATCAGAAACAGCTCAAGGGTCCACTGCTGGCTTTGGAAATGGAGGAAGACATCCCTTTCTAGAAGGTTCCATCCTGAGCCAGCCTCCAGAGTGTAATCAATCCAATTCAGTGAAAATAAAGTACACATTATGTCATGTCATGCCCCACCGCAACTCTCCCTGGTTTGTGCCCAGCCCTGTGCTTTGTGCTTTACCTCGCTAACTCTAGGGCCATGTTTAATGATCATCTTGAGAAAATTAGGCCCTCAGAGGGTCAGAAAGTGGCTTACCTAACAACATGTCCGGTAGCAGTGATTTTCCAGCCATAAGTGGGTGAGGATGAGGAGGACTAAGAGGTCCCTGTGGTCTGGCTCTCCCTAGGTCACTAGGTGTCTTCCCGGAAGGTCCAGCTTTGGAAAAGTTGACACACACAGCCTTCTCTCAAGCAGTGTCATGGCTCCCCGGGGCCGGGGCCCTGGGACCCAGGTCAGGAGAGGGATGTGGAGAGGGCAGATGGCTCCCCTCCCTACACTCATCACTCTGGGAGCCTGTCCCTCCATGGCCAGGAGAAGTTCAGCGTGGGAGCAACGGACCCTTCTTGAGCCCCCCACCCACTGTCCCTGGAATATGAGCCCCCGCCCCCGCCCCTGACTCAGACTACCTTGTCCTCTACAGCCTCCTCTTTCAGTGAGGACAGAGTCTGTATAGATGCCTCCTAATCAGATATAACTGGACCTGAGTCCCAGCCCTGCCAACCAGCCAGGTGAGCCGGGCAAGTCACTCCCGCAACAACCAGGGCAGAGCCTAGTCTGTGTCTGGGGTTAAGGTCCTGTCACTGTCCCCCACCCCTCCCCTTCCCTCCTTTGCCACCTGTTATTCTGGACCTTCTGTCTCCAGCGGTACGAAATCTAGAGAGTGGACCACCTGGAAATCAGAGGGACCTGGGTTTGCTTCTGGGATATACTTCTTTGGGGTCCCCAGCTGACCAGGGATTGTGTCCCTAAGTGCCCAGGACAGGGTCTGAGTAGCAGCAACCTCGTGGGGCTGGGGCCTTAGGCCCTGTGTCAGCCAACTGTCCCCCGGCCCAGCCTTTGAAGGAATGAAGCCCTTACCTAAGTAGAAGTTCTTGTGTTTGTTTTCTGGATAAAACAAAAAGAGAGAAAAGGAAATACACTGTTAGAGTGGTTTCGACAAGTTCAAAGTGCTTCTGTTTAAACTTGCTTCCCAACCCCAGCACTGAAGAGGTGTGGTGAACTCTGGGGTCAGGAGACCTGGCCTCTCAGCTTCCTCATCAATGGGATGGGATGAGTGTCCAGGGGATCCTGGGAAATTAGGGATGGCCGGGTCGGGGACTTGGTGGGGACACGGGAAAGGCTCTGGAGGACGCTAGGTCAAAACTGTGCTGCCGAGGAGGCTGGGGTCCTACTTTCCCACCTACTGGTTTCCACAGGCTTCTCAGCAACTTCAGACCATTCTTTGCCTTCAGGTTTGGTGACCACCATGGATGTGAGGGGAGTGACAAAGCTATAGTGGAGCGACAAGCTCAGAGCTCGGGTCTCGAGGGCCTGTTTCTCAGCATCGGATGCCGAAATCCTGCAGGTGGCGGATATCAGAGGCTCAGCAGGTCCTCCCCAGATGCTTAGTCAGATTCTCCCTCCCTTCCAGACCCTTCTGGGAGGTTCCCACTGGGAGAGTCTGGAGCTCACCCACGATGCCACCAGCCCCTCTCTCTATGCCCGGGAGATACCCCGGGCCAGCTGCACCTGCCCCCCGCACCGGGGAAAGCTTGGGAAGGTGCTTGGGCTGTGTGTGGCTGTCCCAGCAGGCCCTCGAGGGTGTGGGCCACCCACATTTGCTCCAGCAGTTGCTGGATGGTCAAGTATGCCCAGAGTCTCTCCATGAAGCTGTGGAAGATGTACTTGGGGTTCTGGAACTCGTTCTCCTGCTCCGCCACACGGGACTCCGTTTGGAAGGTGATGTTCTGCATGTGCTGGAAAGAGGGGCCCAGCCCGGGCAGGGGCAGTGAGGGCCCCTCCAAGGCCAGCATGGCAGGCACAGAGCCAGAACTCAGGTCAGACCGACCCTTCCAGAGAAAGGGAAATGAGAATGGGACCCGAACCCCCGGCCAGGGTAGAAACAGCAGGAGGAAGGAAGGGCAAGTGCAGTGTGGGGACAGAAAGGGGCCCCAGGGACATTCCACACTCACCCCAAATATGGAGACTCTGGGGACAAAGAGGGAAGAGCCTTCTCCTGAAGTCAGTGGCAGAGTTGTGAAGAGAACTCAGGTGTCATGGCCCTGATAGGGCTTGGGGCCCCATCCGCCCCAACCAGCAGTCCCCTGCCCAAGCTGGTGCCCTCTGCTGGGGGCTGGGCGCAGCAGGATGGTGGCAGTAAGGCGGATGCCAAGCTCTGGCTGGACTGCTGCTTCCTTCCCCAGGGCGGGGCCTTCTGGTCTCAGGCTGCCTTGCCCGCAGTCTGGGAAGTGGGGTCTGGGGACAGAGGAACCCTGCCCTCTCTCACCCCTGCTCCACACAGCAGCCGAAGACCTTATCGTGGATCAGATCCCACTACCCCTGCTGGAACCGCTCCTCTGTCTCTCGCCCGCAGCCTGGTTTCCCAAAACTGCCCCATGCAGGCCACCTGCGTGAATTTTGCCCTGTCCACACACACAGCGATTTGTTTGATGGTTTTCCTTAAAGGAACTTTAAATAGATGAATACTATTTATTTAGCCTTGTCCCAAGCAATCATATCTGCGAAAGTCTTGGGTCTGGTGTTCAAGTTCTATTTTCCGGGAGACGCATTAAAATAAATACACAACTACTGAAACAAAGACATGTTTGTGAACTACCTGGAGCCACCCCGAGTTCTGCAGTTTGGGAACCTCTGGCCTTCAGGTCACTATTAGCAGCTAACGTGAATGGAGTGGTTATATTGGGGCCAGACATTAACCCCCACAGCAGCCTTATAAGATGGGTAGGGTGACCTATTCTGATTTTTACACAGGAGGAAACTGAGGCACAGGAAGGTTACGTGATCTGCCTCAGGCCTCACCTCTGCGAGGTGGCAGAGTGAGGTTGAACCCAGGTTTGAACCCAGCCTGCAGCTCCCTGGTTGTGTGAGGATTTACCAGCACTGTCTCTCCCGAGAGGACAGTATCCCCAGGGCTAGAGAAGGACCTAGAGCAGAGCAGGTGCTGTTTCTCTCCGTGGAATGAGAGGGCCTCTCGAGGCACAGAGGCAGAGACGGGCACCACGAGGGGAGCCGGGCTCTTGACCTGGCTGCTTTGGGGCCTGAGGCAAGTTGCCTGCTCTGCCTGGACCTCAGCCTGCTCATCTGCGAAATGGGAGCAGTCCCCCCTGGCCGACCGCAGCCTCCGAGGGCCGGTGTGAGGCCAGGAGGGCATGCCAAGCACCTGGTGCTCTCAGGACCAGCAGCAGCACCGACGGACTGCTAAGTGTCATCTCTAAGTGGCAGAGGGCACCGTGTGACTTGTGCAAGGTCAGTCGCTGGAGCCCTGCCGGGCTGGCGTTTGAACCCGGCCCCTCTGACTGCCTGCCCCAGCTGCCCCTCCCCTGCAGAGGGGCTGGCCACACTCACCAGCTGCCCCCTGACTTTGGCTGAGAGCACATCGGGGCTCTGGTCCCGGAGCTTCCCGGCCACGACGATCTCGGAGCCTTTGAAGAGCAGCCGGAAGTTGTCCCGTGAGACCTCCTCCACCGCGTTGCTGGGGTACTCAAAGGTCACCGCTGTCAGCAGTGGGTTGGCCACTTCCTGGTAGAAGTCCTGCAAGGTGGGGGGTGTCACGAGTGCGGGGCCGGGCTCCGCCCGCCTCACCCAGGCGGCCCCCCCCGGGGCCCTCTGGCACCTGCAGCTGCAGGGTGGAGTCCGAGTCCTCATAGATGCGCCGAGTCAGGCCGCCGTTATCTAGCGCCAGCTTCTCTAGGAAGGCAAGGCTGACGTCGAAGCCAAAGCCCAGGCAGAAGAGGCTGTACTGGCCATCTATAGCTTCCTTCACGTTCTTCTGGATCCTTGCAGGGTTGGTCTCCCCTGGACGCAGCAGTGTGGGAAGGGGGAGTGAAGAAACAGTGATTTGTTCAAAGATACTTCTGGAATCTCAGAGCCAGAGGGGCCTCAGATACGCCCCCCACCCCAGCCTCGGGTCCCACGGGAAGCCAGGGAGAACCCCAGCTGCCCCCCACAAGGGGCAGCGTGTCCCGGAGTGGCTGGCGGTGCCCTCACCCATGGTGGGGTCGCCGTCGGTGAGCAGGATGATGAGGGAGACGCTCCCCTCTGGCAGCAGCTCCTTCTGGTTGGCGCTGTCCAGCAGCTGCACGGCCAGCAGCATTGCGTCGTTGATGTTGGTCCCTGGGGGGCACGTACTCTCAGGGTGGTAGCTTCCAGCCCGGCTGCCCAGGCTGGGCTCGCTGCACTAGAAGCCGCCACGCTGCAGGGCCCCAGAGGCGCTCACCTCCTTGGGTCTGGATGCTGTCAGCATAGCTCCTGGCCTGGTTCACGTTCTCGGCCGAGGCCGGCACCAGCAAGGGCTTCCACTGGGCCGCCTCCCCGCTGAAGCTGACAAGATTGAACTGGTCGTTGGGGCTGAGGTCATCCAGGATCTTGATTAAGGCTTCCTGGGTCTGGGCAGGAGGGTGGGAGACTCAGGAGGGTGTCTGAGTGGGCCTCCCTGGGGCTCATGTGTACTTGGGCTGGCATCCGAGGGCTCCCACGGTCAATGCTCTTGGGGCAGGCGATGCCCACACTCTGGCCAATCTCAACCCCTGGGTGCCCCCTCCCCAGGAAGATGGAGGAGGGAGAATGCCTCCTGGACCAGACCCAATGGCATGAGGCATGTGTGAGTTTCCAGGGCTGTGCCCTTAGCCAGAGGGACCCACCTGCTCTATCTTCCTGCCTCTCATGGAGCCGCTTTTGTCAATGACAAAGATCACATTCTTGGGTATGGTGGGCAGGCCTTCGGGGGCAAAGTAGTGCACAAAGTAGCCACTCTCGATCTGTGATCAGAGTGAAACAAACCCAGGCAATAAGAGCTGCAGCCCTGCCCTGCCCCCGACCAGTCTTCTCACCCTAATCCTTGGGTTCCTCTCTTCACACAGCCCCCTCTGTCTCTGTCCCACTGCTGACCTCCCAAATCTTCACCATCTTCCACGGCTCAGTCCAGCCCCTCTCTTGCCTTCCCTGCTCACACATGGTCCACTAGAACTCTACCCCCACTTTATCTCCTATTTGTTTTAGTATTTGAGGCAACTTATCACAAAAAGTTTAGACATTCTAAGCCTAAAATCCATTAAAAGACTAAAGACTTTAAAAACAAGGTCCATCAAAGGTGAAAAGGGAAAGCACAATGATGCCAGAAACTTGTGTGAAAGAAGCTACTGCCACTGAGCATAAAACTGAACTGTGAGCCTCCCGGCAGCCAAGGCAATAAGGGAAATCCTGCAGGGCATCTCTTTAGCAGAGGTGAAACTTCCGTGCCTCCAAGAGAAAATTGTTTCAGGGACAACATAACAAAATTACTTGTTTTTGGCCTGTGCTGCCACTGGTTCACCCTGATAAGTAGGGGCAGTTATTTTGCATTTCATTCTAGAACATACAAGCTCAGGCCCTTTTCTGGTTGCCCTACTCTTGCCTTAGAGCCCACACACCTGAATGGAGCCCCCGGAGACAGTCCGGTGCACATCGTAGCGGACGATGAAGTTGCCATCCAGGACTGTGTCCTGCTGCCCTGGTGACATTTGCTGGGAGAGCGTGGGCTTGAATTGGATGTGAGCCTGGGGAAGGATGGGCTGGAGTTGGGAGGAGCCCCATGGTCACCCCCACCCCCTCTGAAGCAAGAATTCCAGGATGCGGCCTTGGGCCACAGTCCAGGGAACGTTCTCTGAGGCCAAGCTGTTGGAGAGACTGCCTCCATACAGGGGAGTGGGAGCTGTGTGAGCAGAGGCTGGGCTCAGTTTGCACAGGATCCTGCTGGTGACCCCTCCCCGCCGTGGGTCCCTCACTCGGGCTCCTCCCCATGGCCTTCTCCCCATCTCAGGCTCCACACCAGCACCCAGCAGCCTTCTCTAGGCCCTCCTCCACCTCGGCCAAGTGGTAGCATGGACACAGACCTCCGAAGTCCCTCCAGCTCAGAGTCTGCCCATTTGTCCCGCTCTCTGGACAGACTCATATGGCTGGCCTGACAACAGGCCCCTGGGGACCCTTGCCCGCCGACCGAGGCAGGCCCACCTTGGTCTTGTTCTGCGAGACAGTGAGGGCGTCTGCCAGTTCGTTGGTCATGAAGGTGCTCTCTGTCTCCAGAAAGCTGATGCCCTGAGGCTCGAAGATGTGAATGTCCATCTGGAGGCAAGCAGTGGGTCACTGGGTCGGCCAGAGTTGGGGCTGGGCCTCACAGGAGGCAGAGGGGGAAGGAGGGGCTGCCCTCAGCGGAGCAGGTGTCTTCCTGGAGCAAACCCCCCTCCCCCGGACCGGGGAGCGGGCAGTGCTGGTACCTGAAGGTGCTTGACCAGCTGCTGGGGCTGGACTTTCAGCAGCAGCTCATATGCTCCCAGATACCGCTTGAGCAGCTCCTCATACACCAGCTCGAAGGTGACCTTGGCAGCGGGAGCCACACTGACCGACACCTGGAACTGCTCCGTCTTTCTTCCGCTGGCCCTGGGGGAGGAGAGCAGCAGGTCTGCCCCTCCAGGCCAGGCAGGGTATGGCCACCGGAGGCTGGAGGGGGTCTGCAGGGCTGAAGGCAGGGGCAGCCTCCCCCCCCCGCCCCCGCCGGGGTCCCTCCCACCACCCGCTTTGGCTCACTTGACAAGGCCAGCGCTCTCGCCCCTGGCCACAGCCGCGCTGTACTGTTCCTGGGCTGCAGCCTTCTCCTTGATGTTCCCTGGGTAGGTCACACCTCCGATGACCCTGGGGCGGGGTGGCAGGCGTTGTGGAGGGCTTGATAGGAGCTGCTCACTCCAATCCCACCTCCTCCAGGGAGGCTCCCTGGACCTGGTGTGCCTCTTAACAGATCGACTCCTGTCTTTGCCTGAGCCCACCCATTTCTTTCTTTCTTTCTTCTTATTATTTTTTAAAGATTTTATTTATTCAATTGTCAGAGAGAGAACGAGAGCACAAGCAGGGGGAACGGCAGGCAGAGGGAGAAGCGGGCTCCTCGCTAAGCAGGGAGCCCGATGCAGGGTTCGATCCCAGGACCCCGGGATCATGACCTGAGCTGAAGGCAGACGCTTAACCGACTGAGCCACCCAGGCGCCCAGCCTACTCACTTATTATGTACTTACTGTATACAAGACTCTGTGCAGGGCCCCGGATGAGGGTGGTGGGCCTCTGCGAGCCATGCTAGGCTTCTGTCTACCCTGCAGCACGCACAGTGTTGGTAAACATACATCTACTGAACAGCCCAGGGAGGCAGGTTGCGGGGGAGGCAGGGCTGAGGTAGAGCCTGGCCTCCACCCTTGCAGCCTGGCCCCACATTCCGGCTTGCCCGGTCTACCTCACAGCCTGCCCCCAGCGGAACTGGTCAGTCACCAGCGGGCACTTCCCAGGGCGCACTTTTGCCCAGCTTGTATGCAGCTGTGCGGGCAGCCAGAGGAGGAGCGGGGTGCCGGGCTCCCAGGCCAGTGGGAAACGCGGGTCTGAGAGGCTCTGACCCCTCTCCCTGCAGCTGGCCCCTCTTCCCGCCGGCACACGGCAGGGCTGTCTGCACAGAGGTGGGCCTCTGCGTAAGTAGGTTTGGGACAACTGCTGCACGGGGCCCCCAGGGCTGTGCACACAATCCTAACGGCTGTTCTTTGGGACTAGAAGGAACTGCTGGGGCTTTTCCTCTGGAAGAAGAACTGCTCCAGACCCTCCTTGTGAGGTGAGCAGGGACGTGTCAGCGAACCTACGCCTGGTCCACCTGGGTGGGCTGAAAGGGTGACAGTGGGCAGGGGTGGGCAGGGTGGGTGTAGCTAGGGCATTAGGACCCAGTTTCCCACCTCCCCACCTTCCTGACCTTCTTGGTCACAATTTAACTCTGGGCGAGGGATGCTGCTGCTGAGTGGGCCACAGGGCTCCTCCTCTCAGATGCCCCAGCTGGGACTCCCCGCCAGGCCAGAGAGCAGGGCACCCTGCCCCCTGCTTCCCCATCTCCTGCAGCAACACCATCTGGACCCAGAGAGGGGTGCAGGCCCTGGGCTCTCAGCACATGCCATGCGTCTGGAAGCTGGCTGCCTGCTGGTCTTGGCCCCCCATTGGAGGCTGGGGGTACCCTGCAGCGCTCAGACTGCAAGTCAGGCAGCACAGGCCTGGCTCCAGGATTAGGAGAAGCAGGGGGCTGCTGATGGGGGTGGCACAGGGAGCGAGGAAGAAGCTGACCGCAGGGACCCAGGCCCCACCGCAGTTATTTCAGAGGTCTCAGGGTAGTTTGGGGACCCCGGCCGAGAGAAGCTTGCTCTGGGCCCCATCCATCACCCTCCCTCAGTTGCTGCGATCAGCGTCTCTCTGGCCTGCCCTCAATCACTACCTCTCTCGTGGGGCCAGGGGCAGACGGGGAGGGTTCTCAGGCATTTAGCAAACATTGCAAAAGAGTCGGGAAGGGTGGGGGAGGACAGTAGAGGACAAGGTGAGGAGCAGCCCTGAGCCACAGAGTCCACAGAAATCCCAGGGGCCTCCCCATGCGGCCTTGGGCCCAGAGCAGAAAGGCCCTCTGCTGTGTCCCAGGTGGGAGGGAGGGGACGAGCTGGCTTAGAACTTCCTGTGACAAAGAGATGGCCCTCCTCGAGGCGTTGCTCCATTGTGGGGCAGCCCAGGAGTTAGGAAGTCATCTGTATTCTGAGCTGGACTGTGCCTTTTGTGACTCCCTCCTGCCTGGGCCTGGCCTCAGAATGCCCCAACTCTACTCTTCAGAGGCAAAGACACCAAGATGCTGTGGTTCTCCATCTGTCAACTGGGCAGGTTGGTGGATGGTGGCTGGCGGGAGGGATAAATGGAAGGGTGGGTGGAGGGATGGATAGAGGGAGGGAGGGATGGAGAGATGAAGGGAGGGAGGAAGGGAGGGAGGGACGGATGGCAGGAGGGCTGGATGGGTGGAGGATGGAGGGATGGAACATCTCTGACAATGCATGAAGTTCATGGGTAAAGCCTCTTGTCCCTTGTATTGCCTGCAGGCAGAGCACACATGCCTAAGGCATCCATCCTGGCTCACCTCACATCAGGAAGAGGGTCGCTCTTCCCGATAGGGTGTCGCCAGGGAAGATGGTGTCATGGTGCTGGGTTGCAGGAGGGCGACGGGGAAGAGGGCAGGAAGGCACCTACATGGAGAAGTTGGTGATGAAGGCTCTCTTGGGCAGCTCCACCTGGAAGGTAGCCTCCTGCATAACACTGGCCCTGTTGACCACCCTGCTGGTGACGACGGTGTGGGCAAATCTGGACGAGACCTTGGAGTCCACGCTGAGGCTGTAGATGTTGATGCCATTCTGGACCAGTGAAGGGGGAGGGGTGGGACTGTTTGAATGCCACCCCAGCTTGAGACAGCACTCTTTAAGAGGGGGCCCTGCCCTTGGTCCCCGACACCACTGAACCACCAAGCCCCCGGCCAAACCCCACGAGGCATTTCACATGTGAACACTGGTCTCACAGCAGAGGGAGCTGAGTGCTTCGTCCCCCACCCTTCAGTGTGTCCGGGAGGTGACTGTCACTTTCTCCTCGGGCCGGGGGCCTTAGAGGGGTCAGGCAGCTTCACATTTGATCTTAGCTCTGCCCGGTGAAAGGGTAGTGAACAAGTTCTGCGATTTCTGGTGCCCTCGGCCGCCATGGAAACTGGGAAAACAGCTCTTGCCTGTCTCCCACCAGGTGCTTACAGGAGCTGGGAGAACGTGGAGGAGACGGGGGGCCCAGTCTCTAATTACTGGGAGCCTTCCTCTTTGCCCCCCTTGACCCTGCGGCCCTGGACCCTCCCCAGGTACACGCTCTTCTCCTCCAGGTCTGCGGTTCCCCAGGAAGGACGTGTGCACGCCTGCAGCCTTGCACACCTGCTCTCTGCACATGGCATGTTCAGGCGCACGCGCGGCTTAGCACCGAGGCCGGGTGGCTTGTGGAGTGTCTGCTCGGTGGCAGACATTGGATGAAGTTCTTTCTAGATCTTTACAGGTTTGATCTTCATGACAAAGCTCTGAATAGCTTTTCTTTTTGCCGTTTTACAGATGAGGAAACGGACACCGAGAGCGTAAATAACTCCTGCGCGGCCACTCAGCCAGGGAGAGGGAGAGGCGGGCTCCTGGAGCCCATTCTCGCCCAGCCCACCCCCTGCCGGCGCCCGGCGGCGGCTCGCTGGGCCGCATCGCCTCCCCGATAAAGCGGGAGCGGGGTCTCCCTGCTGTTAAATGGGAGAGCGTCCAGAGAGCGCCCAGGCTAATGCCCCGCGTCTTCGCGCACGCGCTGGTCCACGCTCGCCCGGCCGCACGTGCTTGCACACACACAGGCTCTCCTTGTTCTTCGGCTCACGCCACCCCCGCTCGGGCACCCGCGGATGCCCGTTACCTTCTGGGCGGCCGCTGTGTGGAGGGCAGCCAGCAGCAAGAACAGCACCTGCGCGAGGCCCCAGGGGCGGCCGGGGGCCGAAGGCTTCATTTGGGCTCCAGTGCCTGGCGGGTCGCTTCTGAACTTGGGAGGAGGTGGGGAATGAATTAGTAACATGCTTGCGGCCCCGCCCCTCTGGGGGCGGCTTCTGGGAAGTTGGGATCTCCAAGCCAAAAACTGCGGTAGCCTCAGCTAAGCAAACTGTGAATGTCCCGTGGACCTTGGCTGGGGCTAGGAACACGTAGTGAGGAGAAGCGGGCTCAGGTGGGAAGTGGGTCTGGCTCTCCCTTTGAAAAGTCCAGAATCATCCCAGGTCACTACCAACCCCTCGCACCAGCCCTTCCAACAGCGGGCTCCCTAGGTCTGGGAGACGCAACAGTGAACCAGCCTGCTCTCCCGAAGCCCAGCCCGGGAGAAACAGGGATGGCCCAGACCAAGGGGGCTAGGGAGCGGCTTCCGGGAGGGGGCAGCGGGGACCCGAAAGGTACTGAGCAGCCATTGGGGTGTCTGACTGGGGCAAGATCTGCTGGGGTCGGGGCAGGACGGAGACCCCTTGTTTCTGGGGTGAGAGAGACTGGGCCCAGGAGTCTTCTTCTCTGCGTTTGGGTCCCAGGCTGCTGTCGGGCCCCATTAATCTAGCTACGGCTCTTGGTTCAACCCCAGCAGGGCCCCCAGAATGAGACCCGCACTTTGGCAATACCAACCGAGAGCCATAAAGATGCCCGCGCCTCGAGGCCCAGAGGTCTCCCTCCAGGGCATTTATTGAGAGGAAGGCGTGGAACAGTGAGGTGGTGTGTGCACTCGGCGGCCCACGGGGTCAGTCATGCCGGGGGAGCCCGTGAGTCACGGCTAGCGTGAGAATGTGGAGGCAGCAGCTCGCCGGGGCGGTGCCACGGTCCCGAGCCAGACCGGAGGGAGGGCACCGGAAGGCGTGGGCTAGGATTACCGGTAACTTTTCTCAATTGTCCTTTAATAAACTTGAAATGTCTTTGTAACAAACAGCAACGAAGTGAATAAATATTGAGGGATCTGGACGAAGCTGGTGCTTGTGTCCCTGGCGGTCCCAGCTCCTGGGTCTGGCCACGGGTAAGGTTCAGCAGTGTGGCCAGGTGCCAAACCCTGGGTCAAGGCTGGCTTGGTGACACTGGTGGGGGTGGGGGTGGGGGTGGGAGGTGTGGGGAGCAGCCACGTTGGGGGCCCACACAAGATTCTGAGGCAGTGACTGGCCGCCGGGGTCTCCTCCATCAAGGCCAGCAGCATCCAGCTCGGGGGAAAGGGCAGCAGAGACCCGGGTGCTGTGTCTGGCTGCGAGTAAGTGTCCCCCTTCCTTAGCACACCTGCAGCCAGAAGCATCTCTCTGCACGTCTATACTGCTTGCCCTTTGGCTCTGAATAAGGTTGGGATCATATGGGGCTTCGCACCCCTGCGGCAATCTGGAAAGAGCCTCCCCAAGGAGCACAGAGGGCAGGCCCAGGCCCTGTCCCACCGGAGGTCTGCTCCTCGGGGCACAGAGCACAGGCCCAGCCTAGAAGCAGCTATATAAGGAGGCCGGGCTGGCTGAGGACGTGGGAAAGGCTCCGAGCAGCCAGCCCCACCTGCCCAGGGGGCCGGCCGGCTTCCCTGCAGACAGCAGCCCTGAGTCGGGTGCCGCAAGGCCCGGCCCTGCTGGTCCAGCCTGGGACTCTGCCTGTGGTTTTGCCGTCACAGGGGGATGGGGCTCTGCAGGCCCAGATCTGACAGCTCCATGCACACAGGGGACACTGAGGCCTCGTGAGCCAAGGGCCTGGAGTTCCCATGATGCAGGCAGAGCTGTGGGAGTGGCAAGGGGAAGGCTCACCCTGTGCGTGGGACAACAGCTCAGGAGGTAGCCTACCACTGGCCAGAGAGGGGCCTCGACCTGGCTCTGTCTTTGAGGGGTATGAGCTGGCAAGGAGGTAGTGCAAACGGGGGTGCAGGGGGGAAGGGGCTGGGAGGTCCCTGGTCTGGCAGAGCCTTGGAGTCCTTGGACGCATCTCGATTGTTTCTGTGGAAGGCAGGCAGAGGGGTGAGCCTCGGGCCCCCACCTGCTTCACTCTGAGCAGTGTTCCTGTGGCCCTTGTCAGACAGGAGGGGAAATCGAGGCTCAGAAAGGGAGAGACTGGTTTGAAGTCATACAGGAGCTCAGCACCAGGTCTCCACGTCCAAGGCTCTTTCTAGCATGTGGCAGTAGCCCTAATAGCACCTGCCTTACCCTCTGGGACCTCCCAAAAGCCCACGAAGGGTACGGAACATGCCCCACACCCTAACCTGCCTGCCCCTCCCCTACACTTAGTGGCCATGGCCGGTGACTAACTAACAGCCTCCAAATGCTGGGGCCACGTGGGCATGCTCTTTATTGGTGTTCCCTGGGTGCTGGTGCAGAGTCCCTGGGCCGAGGGGCCAGGGCTGTGAGGGGTGGGTGGCTGTCGCACAGGCAGCAGGTAAGAAGGTGCATTCTGGCATAAAAGAGTTTTTGGGAAAGGCTCCTGCGTCTGGGAGTTGGCAGCGGCAAGGGGAATGGGGCGCACGTCTTAGCCAAAGATGCTCTTGGCAGGTCCGGCTTTGGGCTTCTCGAAGACGGTCTCAGTGCCGGTCCGGTTGCTGCTGAACACAGATGGGGCGGTGGAGCCAGCTCGTTCTGTGGGGAAGACGGGGAGGTGGCAAAGGGGCATTTGTGGGGGGTGCCCCCCTGAGCTCAAGAGCTCTGGACTCTCAGGAAATGACCCTGGGACCCCTCCCCC